CTCAAAGCTCTATCTTGTGTCAAAATACGGGCTCAATCGCACCGTAGGTATATCTCCATCCATATCTAAATATATGACGCGTTTGCGCAGTTCTGCACTTAAAGGCTCCAAAAGACACCAAAATCACCACTTTACTCCATATCGTACCTGAACCTGTAAATATTCTAAATAGACTCTATATTGTAGTAAATATATATGAAAACACCAATAGACTATGGCTAAAAATGGGTAAAATCCATGGTCGATCATCGACTCCCCATGTTAACACCAGCTTGAGCCTCACTACCACCTCCCATCCAAGGATTATAATCCTCCGGATTCAGTGTGTTTTCTTTGTTATCACCGCCGCTTGACACTCCAACCTCAACATACGTTCTTGGTCCTGACTCTATGTTTAGTCTTGCAATAATCTTATCCTCGTTGAATACAAAATTAACGGCATTTGAATCTACGTAGTCTCCATCTAATAACGGCTTCCAAAACCCCTTGTCGTAACCTCTTGGCCTCACTTCTATCTCCTCCAAAACAACATCTCCTTCAGTGTTAGCTCCAGAACTGAATCATCCACACCGTCGCTGCTTTCTCCTCTAAGTCTCTTACCACTCATCAATCTACCTTCCACCTTCTCAGATTCTTGTACTAAATCATCATCTTCCACAAGGTTAATAACCTTTGTCTTAGAAGCAGCTGATGAAACGTAACCCCTTTTAGATGACCCAGACGAAAACCTTGCTGCATCTGGTGACACAAATCCCAAACCTGAATCATCCACAATATTAGTGTCCACAATTATGGATTTCTCTTCAAATTTAGCAAACAGGTTCATCCCCTCTTTCACTTTCAAATGTTTGCAGAAATACTTCACAGTCCATCACTTGTAATCAGCACCGGTGAGATCCTAATCCCAGTTGTAAGCTCCATGTTTGTTGGCGGCCAGTAGCTCAAAGCAACACCAAAACGGGCTTCATCGACTCCAAACTCCCGCAGTACGCGGCGTTCAAGATCCACACAACCAATGCCCTCGTATACAGGCACCATACGACTCATGCGATGCTTCTCAATGATGAAATCTCATTTTTCTCCATCTCCACACACCCACTCACTGTTTAGAACCAAGCATTGCTCGTCCATCCTCAAAGATAGCTCCTTCAAACAAAACTTCATAAATTTTACGACAAATGTTAGATAATAATGAGATATTACACAGTGTGTTAACAATTTAAAGCAAAATTTTACTCAAGTAAACAGCAAAACCAAACTTTGCTTCTTCACCGGCGGTGGAGCTAGTTATTCTGCGCTTTCAAGACAATGTTTACCTCATATACATTTATTAGCTGACCTACTATTTTCAAACAAAGCAAACCCTGACCATTGGATCGCTCTCCATCCAACGGTTGCTATGTGTCTCATTTAAGGAAACACACCAACACGTTTGCTTTTGTTTTGGTTGTGATAAAGCCGACAGAATATTATATTAATAAAATTAACTCACCTCTTCAAACTCTTAACCAAAGCAAAAGGGCATATGAGTATAAACATATAGGGGAGAAGAGGAAGGAACTGCCCCTCAAATAAGAAGTGTCTAATGAAATTAAAAAAGAGAAAAAATGTTTGTTTCGGTAATCAACTCTATACTAAATAATATTCTTAAAATAAGTTATTGAACATGAAATAAATCTGAGCAAAAGGTGGAAGAATTACCATATTTTTATGTGATCAACAATTTCAAACATATAAACGTATGAGATTTGGTCCAATCAATGTTTAAATCTTAAAATATAATAATAAAAATAATAATAAGAATAATAATAATAATAATAATAATAATAATAATAATAATAATAATAAAATCACAAAATATATATATCTGTCAAAAATATTAAAATTCTCATTTAGTTTCCTCACTTTTTGGTTTAGAAATCTCCAAATATACGATATTACACAAAAACAAGACTAACCTGGTATAAAAGATAAATAAAAGTTAGAGTATTTGGTAGGTTTAGAAACGTACCTGGTTAATTTCTAGAAGAAATCAGTTACTATACTTTTGGGATGTTCATAATTTATTTAGTGTACTTTGGAATGACCCATTTGATATTCTCATACTATATTGATTCATTTATAAGGTTTTCTTTTAGTCATTGAATTGTGATTGGTGTATATATTAATATAATATATATTTGGCTCATTTTATTATATGTTCAAATAACTATGCTAAATGCTTAAATATTAGTGTATACGAATATTATAAAATTTTATAAATATTAAATAAATTACTAAATAATATTTTTATATGTAACTTAAACATAAAATAATATTAAAAATAAATAAATTAAATAAAATTAATTTTTAAAATAGATTTCATCTGTTAAATTTTAATTGTCGTTTTATATTTATGCACATAGATAAAGAAAAGATTTAATTTATATTTTTAAATAAAAATATCACTACTATTATCTCGAATTATACTTAATCAAGAGAAAAATAAAGTTAGAGAATATAAAAAGTCATATAGTATATAAAGTAAATAAATTTTGTTTAGGTATTCTAAAACGCCATTTATTTTGTATCAAAATTTTTACTCTATAATGAAAATTAAAATGACGGATTGAGTATAATTATATATAAAATATTTTTAAAATTTGTTGAACTTTATATATATTAATTCATTTAATAATTTAACAAATCCAATAAATATGTATAAAAAAGTTAACAAATACATGTGAAGATTTGAAATAATTAATTTAAACTGACAAAAGTATAAATAATAGAATTATTATATTTAAATAAATAATAAAAATATTTAATATATATATATATATTAAAGTGAAAATAAATATCCGCGCGATTGTGCGGATAAAGATCTAATTAATGATTAAATAAATAGTAAGAAGCATGAAAAATCACAATAAAGAGAATCCCACTATTTGGCTTCAACACTATTGTATTTCCTTTTTACTAGTACTAGTAGTATTTAATATATCTCGGTTGAAGAAAAAAAAAAGGAAGAATCCCACCGACATTGGGACTCTATTGGCCGGTGACATGTCGGACACGCTCAAGTTAGAATCTGATACCTCTTGTCTCTTCAGCTCACGTGTCCGGTAATACTCATTGAAACTAAAGCAACCCAAATCGAACCAAAATCATTAAACCGGACAAACAAACTCGATTCTGATCGACTAGTAATATGATTACTTCGAAACCAAACCTTTTGACCAAAAAAAAAGAGAAACAAAACCTTTTGACCAAAAAAAAAAGAAACAAAACCTTGTTTTGAAAAATGTTTCTTACCTTCCAGTAGGGCTCTTCAAATAGGCTATCTTTTACAACATAATCGGAATGAAAAGGAAAAAAAACTAGCAGAAACATATATACAGAATAGTAAAAGGAAACACGTACGAAGCAAAACAAAAAATATAGAATACTAAAGGGAAACTCGTATGAAAAAAAAAATAGGGTCAACAATCTATTTTTCCACGAGAAATATCGTATAGTATCAGATGTCCACGATATTATGATCCCATTCTATTTATCCCCGAAAATAAAATTTGAAATATATTTTCCCACCAAACTAAAATTATATCGATATTTCCCCACAATTATAAAGATCGAAATCTAAAAACTCATAAAATCGATTTTTATTGGTTTACTGTTTGTAAATAAACCATAGACCATGTTAAACCAATGACTAACCGGATTAAGATTCAAGCAGACAGATATTTTTAAGTTTGGTTGTTGGATTGGGTTACTATTCTAATCTAGATCAGGATTTGTTCGGGTTTTTAATTTTGTCTTGGTTTAGTTTTGCTCGGTTTATTATATGAGAGTGGAGATTTGAAATTCGGTTTTCAGAAATCATAACTAAACCAAATTTGTGGAGAAATAGGTTGCGAACTTTATTCTCGGGGATAAATAGAATGGGGTCATACTTTCGTGGATATTTGGTGCTATATGATACTTTTCGTGGGGAAATAGACCGCCGACCCAAAAAAATATAATGATAAAAGAAAACTCAGTATGAAAGAAACATATTCTCTAGACATTATTTAAGTAATGATTTCACACATAACTTTTTTACCATCAGTTTCACAAAAAAAATGACTTAAACATTTTATAATATGAATATAGAGAAGTAAATTTAATGTTAATGCCCTTTTACCAAAAAAAAAAATTAATACTTATTTCAAAAGTTTGTAAAATTTATAAGAAAATTGTAATAACTCATATATCATCACTAAAATAAATCTATTTAAATATGAAATTAAATAATATAATGATAGAAATATAAACTATTTTTAAAAAATTTGAAATACTATTGAAATCTATTTTTATAACCATACAATTTTTATTACAATTTTTTTCAAAAGTTTATACAATCTTTTGAAAAATTATAGCACTTTAATCATAATACCATTTCTTTTCTTTGGATATCTACAAATTTTTAAAAATTCTATTTTTTTTTATCTTTTGCTAGTTATACAATTTTTATATCAGTTTGTTTTTAGAAAAAAAAATTATACAAACTGACTGAATCTATTTTAGCCAAAATAAATAAATGAATATCTATTTAGGATTATGATTTTAAATATGTACATATCTATTCTTAAATATAATTCAAAATATATCAAAGTATTTATTTTATCTTAATTTTATGTTTAGCTAAATCCATATTTATATTAAAATAGTAAAAATAATAAATCTAAATTACAAACAAGATTTTGTTTTTAAATATAATTTAAATTTAAACTTAAAATATTTACTACACATCTAGTACTAGTAGAATAGTAAAAGGAAAAAAATAAAATAAAATATACGAGCCGAAACAAAACTAATTTCATCGGTTCGGTATCCTCTTTTTTGTGCACAAAATCGGTTTGGTATCCAAAATATCGAAACATGTCCCGGCTTAAACCAGGAGCAGACACACGTGCCAAACCGCTTTAATGTCTAAGTTTGATATTATAAATAAGAAGATCTCCTTCCATCTTTGGTCGTGTTGTTTCAAAAACAAAAGGGCTCCGAAACTTCTCTTTACTTATTCCTTTGATTGGTTAGAAATTTTTGTGGCCTCTTAAAATGACTAAGTTTTGGACTTTCCTCTCAGCTCTTCATTCCATCGCTGGGTACTTATTTGATTTTTCATATTATTATCTCGATTTAATACTTAAGACTCCATCAATATATGGTTGGACTGCTTTTCTTTTATAATATTATTTTTATTATCAAAACAACAACGTGATTTTCTGTTTTGTTTACTGTTTACGACCATATGCAGGCCTGTAGTGATGCTGCTTTATCCGTTGTAAGTAATTTGCTATTGTTTCATTGATAAAGTACCCATTTTGCTTCAGAGATTTAATGACAATTGTTTTTATTTATTTATGATATTGGTAAGATATGCGTCGGTGCTAGCAATAGAAAGCCCATCAAAAGCAGATGATGAGCAGTGGCTTGCTTATTGGATTCTCTACTCTTTCCTAACTCTCTCAGAACTCATCCTTCAATCTCTCCTAGAGTGGTAACAATAATACTGAATATGTGTTTTTATTTGTTCTGGTAAAAATATGAGATATAAAAAATGAAATTTTGTGAAAATGTATATAGGATACCGATATGGTACACGGCGAAGCTAGTGCTGGTCGCATGGTTGGTTTTGCCGCAATTCAGAGGAGCTGCTTTCATATACAACAGAGTCGTGAGGGAACAGTTTAGGAAGTATGGCATCCTCAAACCTAAGGTCAATTATTTCATCTCTAAGCTATCTTCCTATAATTTATTATAACGTAAATATATATCTTGAACTCATATATCATATACTTGATCTGAAATTATTATGGTGGTGATGAGAATCTTTGTGAGGGCAAACCTTGTCTTAATAAGTTGGTCCACATGATAGCTGGGTTTTAATCCTACGAATATGGTTTGGTCATTTTTCTGTTTTGTTTTGAGCCTAAACTCTGGTTTTCACTATGCAAGCAGCAAGTCCAAGGACCTTTCATTTTCTTAAAACATAAAAGTTTACCGAGGCATGTAGTATGCGTTGCCAAAATCAAAACCCGTTTTTAATACTTCAGTCAAGGTTGAAACGAACTGGATTTAAACTGATGTATTTAAAACGGGGTTGGTTCAAGTGGAGCGGAGCCACAATCTATCACAATATTCTTGATTCAAAAAATGCTGTCAAATTCTGAGATCAAAAGCACAATAGGTTGCAAAAACAAAAGAATAACTATACCAATGAATTTTCTTAAATTTCCTTACTAATGTGATTTCTTTTTAATCAAAAAAGTACTAGCATGGTGGTCTAGGTTTGTAATACTACATGTGAAATAGAGAGAAGCAGTATTGTGTATTGACGGTCACTTTTTAAAATTTGGTGTTTGGAGTACAGGCACAACACCAGACTGAGTGACTAAAAAGAGAATGCACGGAACACAAAGAGGTTTCAGAGTTGGTTCCTTCAATTTCTAATCTTGATGCTTTCCTTTTGTCTTTCTATCCTGTTTAATTTATGCGTTTACAAGTTGACGATATGATTGTAATTTCGTCTTGTGAGCTGTCTGCTTGAAACTATGCGTAAAGAAATTCAATCTGACGTCAAAATTATTATTTTTAATATACTACCAGTCTAAATTTCGGCGTGTTAATTTCTTGTTATAAGTTTTTCATACTTTCTCACTATCTGCATCACTTATTCTCAAATCATCACACTGATAATCTAAAAATATAAGCATCAAACAAAGTCATCCATGAAAGTGCCAAAGCTCACTTTTATGTCTGTACATTTAGTAGTTATATCTGAGTTTTGAAGACTTGACGATCTCCGACAACTTTATTTACAAGAATCCATATTCGTTACTTCTACAAAGATCTTTACTTTAAAAGGATTTATACTCAAGTCGTAAGTGCATATTGTGGCTAGATTTATGTATTAGGATGCTGTTAGAATACGTATGAGCATAAAGTAAATAACACATAAATTTTTTTATTGAGATTCGGTTTCCTACATTCCCGGGATCTAGTCCAGAACAAATCTACTAAAACAAATTGCAATTAAAATTCCTATGGTATCCAATACTACAATGCCTACCTTTTTTAGATGGATGAACTGTGAAGATAGGTATCAAGCCCGCATGTATTAACTACCATCCAACAGCACTGGAGCATCACTGTCTACGAACAGTTGTGATCTTCATAGAACGTGACCACCAAGACCATACAAATCTCTATGATGGGATGACACCATACACAGCTTGTGTGCCTCTCTGGAAATTATCCTAGGTGTGCATGCCTTCTACAAAAGACGGCTCCTTGGTATTTAAGTGATTGCCCAACCTTAAACCCTAGAATCTCCAAGTAATCTTTCATTTTTCTTTTCATAAGAATAAAGAAATTTTCAATCATCTTACATATACTATTTAAGAGATTATCCAGCTCAAGAGACACCTCGTGGCTTGTCCAAGTCGTCTCTAAGCTGTTGTCCACTTCTGTGCCCTAGCTTCTTGTAAGTAATCGCACAGCTCTGTTCCTGACGTAATTTTTGAACTACTTCATGTAGTAAGTCCTGAACCATTTCCTGATCTACTTCATGTAGTACCTCCTGATATATTTTTCGTATTACTTTCTCAAACCAGTCAGCATTACATTTTCACAAGTCACTGATGTTAGGAGTTTTCAAGGGTCCAAATCAAATGTTGTAATATAAAGGATGTCAAACCAGTTCTAAGTGATTCTAAATCAAAGGGAATACAAAACCATGATTAATCTAAGTGATATCAATTGGTGGGATGATTTTTAAGTAGGAAATTAAGAAATAAGCAATAAAGATCAAAACTTTCTTTGTAAATGAGATGAGAGAACTCATGGGACAAGGTAATTGATCTTGGGTGATCAAGTTTCAATCTAAAGGTAGAAGCTTTTCAATCTATCTATAAACCTTAGGCCTAGACACCATCCTAAACAAACTCTATCTCTAGATGAATGTTCATTTGCAAAGATAACTCAAGCATCTAATCTCTTAGGTTGAATATTATCTAAGCAATCATTAAAATCTAGTTTACTAGCCATTCTAACACCTTTAACAACAAATCTCTTTGGTAAAGAATGCTAAAAGTATTGGAGAGTTGGTTTAGGTATCAAGCAAGCAACATGTTTCAAGAAGAGCTTTCATGGCTCGAAGCGTGCAAGGCTTTTAAGAGATGCTTAAGCTACTTGATATGTTTAACTAGGATGTCAAAATGAGTTCTAGGAATGTGTTATTTTCTAGGTTTCTCACAATGCATGAATGCAATCTAAATGCTTCTAAACTCAGTCTTAAAGATGCAAATGATGCAACTAAATGCTTCTTTTTGTAATTTTCGCAAATTTTCAATTTTTTTGGTTTTTCTATGAAAATAAATATGTACAATGCAATTCATGACAAGTAAACAAAACACAATATGAGACAGTGGATTCTCCCCCAAACTTACTTCACACAGTTCCTTGTGTAAGATTAAACTTGGGAGAGAGATCAAAAGAGAAATAAAATATGAAAGAACTCAATATTTACAAAGGTAAGGATGCAGTTACTTGGAGTTTGCTTGATGAGAGAAGGGAATGAGGATGGAGGGCTTGTTGTGACCTTGGAATTCTGGACATGACCTTTGGGAAGATTTAGATCTCTCCAAAACTTGTCCTTAATCTTATTCAAACACATTAAAATAAGAGAAAAGATAGATAGATATATAAATATATACAAAGGATAATCATGTGACTTCCTCCCAAGTGAACTTGTTTTAAGTCACTAGCTTGACTACTTTTTCTTTTAGTTAGTGAGAAGGACGGTCCTTCCCACCCTCAAGAGTGATGGTGAGGATGTGGGAGAGAAGCTCTTGAAGCTTGGTTGGATCATCTTGGAGTTGAGGAGTGATGATGGCTTTTGCAGTGGAGAATGGCTTAGACCTTCCCTTCCACTTGATCTTGTACTCAATGACTCCATCCTTGAGCTTCATTGGGTGGAGAGTGAGGGTGTGTGGCATCTTGTCAAAAGGTGGAGGGTGAGGTTCTTTCATTATCTTCTTCTTGTCATGAGCAGCATTTGTGGTTCTACTCACCCCTCCTTTTTAGCACTTTCCAAGTGCTCTACACATAACTCTTGAGAACACTCTCCTGCAAGATCTTCTTTCTCAGTTACAACCACTTCAGCTTAGGTTTTCTTAATGGATGGGTCTTCACAAGTGACTGTTCCATAATACCCAACATCCATTGGAGACTGGATTGGGTAAGAGACAACCTTGTTCACATTGAGGAGTGTGACCTTCTTGTTTGGTAAGTCAATACATGCTCCAACTGTTGTGAGAAATGGAGTGCCAAAGACCAAAGGAACTCTTTTCTTAGTTACCATCTTCAGAACTGTGAGGTCTATAGGGATTGTGCATTCTCCAATCTTCAAAGGAAAGTCTTTGATGAGACCAACATGATTTGTTGAAGAGGAATCTCCAAACATGAGGGAGGAGTTGTTTGGCTCCATGCCTTTGATCTTCAGGCTCTGAACCATCTCCAATGAGATCGCATTCACACAAGCTCCATTATCCATAAGAGCATCATCAATCTTATAATCACCAAGAGAGCAAGGCAAGATGAATTTTCCTTGATCTTCAAGCTTGGGAAGATATTTTGGTGGAGGTTTAGGGTCCAGCAAAGAGGAAGAGATATCAAGAAGCTTTGCTACATATTTCTTGTGAGCCAAGATGTCTTGTATGAGGATCATTTGGTCACAAGCTTCTTGCATGTTTGAGGTCTTTGGAAGTTGGACTCCAACATCACTTAACTCTTTCCTAAACTTGGAGATCACCTTCTTTTGAGCTTTGGTGATGATCCTCTTTGGAAAAGAGAACTTATTATAAGGAGATAGCTCAACCTCATTGGTTCCTTCAAGCTCAACCTCTTTCAACTTCTGGACATCTTCTTTAACAACAAATACCTCAGCCTTGTGCGCAGCTTGTTTCACAACCTATGCCTCATCTTTTAGATAAACCTTGGCCTCAACCTTCTCCACAGCTTGGAGCTTACCATTGTCCACGATCTTAGCTTTAGTTTTCTCCACAATATGAACATCAGCCTTGTTCACAATCTGTTTCTCATCCTGCACAAGTTCAGAGCAATATAATAACCTTTCAATCTCATCTACCTCTTTCACATGATCATTCAATTCAGGCTCATAGATAGCATCAGAGATGAAAACATTGCAATGGTCTTTCCCTGGCGGTTAGAGGTAGAAGTCATAGAAGAAAACTGGTTCTCCAAAGCTATGATCTTGTTGTTGAGCTCATTGTAGCTTCTCTCAATCTTAGAGTGGATGTTCTTGAACTCATAACACATGTGGGGACCGAAATCAACCTACTGTCAATAAATCGTAAATAAGGAAACTTCGGGAAAACCCTAAGTTTCCAGAGGAGCCGGCTATCTGCAGAACCGCACAACGAAGATTAAGAAAACGACGAACTTAGAATTAAAAAGAGAATAAACGAAATCGAGAGCAAAGAGGTTCTTATTCCGAATCTGCGTAAGAACTGTTACAACGAGAGTAGCCTTAGCTGTATGAGCCGTCGGCGAAATCCCTAGAAGTCTAAGAACGAAAACCCTAGTTGAGACGCAGCTCGCTAACAGAAAACGGAAATATTCCTAAATGCTAGTTTTTGGTGGTCAGAGCTCTGAAAATCGTGTCTGCTTCTGCCCTATACCTCTTGCTTATATACTCCCTGCCTTGGCGATTCGATCTTTCCATTTTGCCCGGATTTGAGTGTATCGGGAATCTTCCATTTTTCTCGATCCTTCCTTTTCTTCCGCGGAAATCTTCTATTTGTCTTCAAACTTGCCTTTTATCTTTGAGCTTGACATTTATTTTCCTTCTGCGAGTAAACCGCCAAAAAGTTATCGTATCTTCGGGTTAGATTCTGTTGAGATCGCGAGATGGGCTTTTATCGCGTTTTAGGACCTTCCGGGCCGTTTTGCGATAAATCCGTTTCTCGACCTTGTACGGAATCGTTTCCTGATTCGATACCGTTTTTAGTAAATTCCTCGAGTTAATCGTAATATTTAGCTACGTTTGTTTCTCGGTTAATCGTTTCCGTCTTTTACGATTTACTCGATATTTTTATTAAAAACGCGTTTTTTACGATTTACTCGACGTTTTTGTTAAAATACGTTTTTTACGAATTTAACGAAAAATCTCGAATAAATTGTATAGTTTAGGCGATGTTCGGTGTCTTGTTTAACCGTTACTGTTTTATACGATTTCTTCGAGCTCTTTTCGAGAAAACGGAGTTTACGGTTTTTTATCGTAAATTTCAAACGATAAGTCGGATCTAGACGAAACGAGAGACATTTCGGCCGTGGTTCAGAATGCGACCATGTCGAAGGACGTAAGTTTCGAATCGGGGATGCGTTAGATCGAGGCTCGGGATGGTCGGTTCAACGTACGGAGAATCGAGCCGGTCCGATCCAGCTCGCCGGTTTGACGAACTGTCTGGGAAATCTCTAGTTCGCCTGCTGGCGAAATAAGCCAAGCTGGCTTAGTTCGCAAGCAGGCTAACTAGTCGGGAAGTTCCTAGTTCGCCTGCTGGCGAACTAAGCCAGCTTGGCTTAGTTCGCCAGCAGGC